TCTTGGGAAAGGGCAAGACTTCCAGTAGAGTAATTGGGACACCAGCCCAACCACAAACTCTTCAACCTACAAATTGTGGTGCCTACAAAATGTGCTGGAGTAAAGATGACTTAAAATTTGTGTGAGTGACCACCTAATGATTGGCCTAGCTAGAGACCCATACCTTGCAATGGAGCCCAACTGTGAGAGCCAGAACACAAAAGAAAGATACAACAGAGACCTAGGATAGAATCAAAATTGACTGGCAAAAAGAGTCAGTGAAACAATTCTTAATGATATTGTGCTATTCTCATAGATTGATGCCTACCCCAACTGACATCAGACAGGCTTCATACAGCAACTGATGGGAAGAGATGCAGAGAGCCACAGCCCACAGCCAAACATTAGGCAGAGCTTGGAGAATCCTGTGTAAAAAGGGGAGGAAGAATTGTAGGAGCCAGAAGGGTTAAGGACACAAGAAAACCCACAGAACCAACTTACCTGAGCTCATAGTGGCTCACAGAGACTGAACTGACAAACAGGGAGTCTGAATGGGACTGACCTAAGCCCTCTGAATATATGTTACATTTATGTAATGTGGTCTTCTTGTGAGACTACTAACAGTTAGAGCAGGGGCTATCTCTGACTTTGATACCTGTTTTGGGGAACCAATCCTCCTACTGGTTTGTCTTATCCAGCTAAACAGAAAAGGAGGAACCTAGTCTCATTGCAACTTGATATATCTTGGCTGTTGATATTCATGGGAGGCCCACCTGTATCTGTAGAGAAACAGTGGAGGAGGAGTGTGCAAGAGGTGGCAGAGGGGAGTTGTGGGAGAGGAATTGGGAAGAGGGGAAAGAGGAGAAATTTTTATTGAGATATAAAAAATACTCAAAAAATCCCATAAAAGAGAAGATGGCCCACACTAGGTCACACAGAGCTCATTTCTGAACTGCATAGGATGGGAGAATGCTGCAAACAATTTCAGATGGTCTATTCAATTTCTAAAAAGCTTTGTGGAGTACAGCTTACTTTTTGTGAAGAGACAGCGGCTACATTATTTATCTCCATATTACAAAGAACTATATAGTTACAGAAGTCAAAGTCCTTATGAACATAGACTTAAATGAAAAGCCTGGACTCAAGTCCAAACACGTCTAATAAAAAGCAATCATGTTTTAAAGCTCCACATTACCATGCCCTGTGTTGTGCTGTTCTCTGTAGACGTCTAGTAAATGATGTTTTTGTACTTATGCTATTTACTTCTCAAATAATACTTAATGAATGGGAAAGAAACAAATAGTCAAATTGTACTCATAAGAATCCATGAGAGCTGAGTAAAGAAAAGGGATAGGAAAATATTTTGTTAAAGTAAGAAAAGGGGAACTATTCAGGACAAGAAAAATAACTTAGTGGTTGTGATGGTTTGAAAGAAAATGGCCTCCAAAGAAAGTAGTACTATTAGGAGGTGTGGCATTGTTGAAGGAAGTGTGTCACTAAACGGATGGGATCTGAGGTCTCTTTTTTTTTTCTCAAGCTTCCCTCAGTGTGACAGTCAATAGACTTCCTGCTGCCTTCTCGTCAAGATGTAGCCAGTACCACATTTGCCTGCATGCTGACATTCTCCCCTTCAAACTGTAAGCTATCACCTCAATTAAATGCTTTCTTTGTAAGAGTTTCCATGGTCATGATTTCTTTTCACACCAATAAAAACCCTAACTAAGACAGTGGTAGAATACCTGCCATTCCCAGTACTTCAAGGTTATAAAAAATTCATAAAAGTATATAATTTCAAATAATTGTATTATTTAAAAGTATTAGCTCATTTGAACCAAACAGCATATTAAGAAAATCATGTGGCATCATATAGATCTTTATGAAAGTATCAGATTTAATCTCATCCTTTCCTCTGAAAATAGAACTTTAGTATTCCTTTTTTTCTTTTGGTCCTTCTTGGACATGTATTTCCCCCCCAATTTCTTTTAAAATTAGCAGCAGATGGTTGCTTAAGGCAATGCTCAAAACTCTTTATGAATGCAGATGATCAATATCTTATTCCACAGGGTCATCTCTGTCCCTCCAGGAAGTAGGGTATCTGCTGATGCCAGGTTGTTGCTTCAACCTGTGGTGATAAATATTCTGTTCTCAACCCACATACTTCAGGGTCCCTCCCTTTGTCTCACAGCTTCCACTCCTAGTTCTTAGGAGTATGAGTAGTCACCTTCATCTGTAAGGCAGTCCTTTATCACTCTGTGTTCTCTAAACTGCCTAAGCACTCTCACTCACTACTCTGGTTCAGATTGTGGACAAAATCCATTCATTTTCCTTCCATTTTCTCTGTTTCTTCTTTTTCATTTATAACAAACACACACACACACACACACACACACACACACACACGTACATGCATACACAAATACATTGTTCTTTAATGTTATTGACTATACTTCTCAACCCAAAGGCTTCCTTAGAAAATGTTCCATCATATTAATTGCTTCATATTATAGCCTTAAAAAGATCAGAGTTTCTCAGCAATAATTTCCTAGTTGTCATTTCTCCCTTTTCAAACAAGAAATTGTTTATAATCATATACTTCTGCAAGATTTCCCAGTTTCTGAGAAAGTAATTTTAATAAAGAACACAAATGTAAAAGGTGGATTTTACTTTCTAATTCATCACAATTGTTATCTCCAAAATACTCATTCTCTTCATTCTATTTTTTAAAATTCTAACCCAGGTTGTTTTGTTTTTCCATTTTTTTAGTGGAATTAGAAACAAGATTGCTTTACATGTCAATCCCAGTTCCCATCCCCTCCCCTCCTCCTCTACCAACCCCCCAACTAAAACCCGACCTATCACATATCCTTTCTGCTCCCCAGGGAGGGTGAGGCCTTACATAGGGGGTCATCAGAGTCTATCATGTCCTTTGTGATAGGGTCTAGGCCTACCCTTGTGTGTCTTGGCTCAGGTTGTATCCCTCTATTTGGATTGGGATCCCAATGTCCACACCTATGCTAGGGGTAAGTACTTAACTACTACAGGAGGTCCAGTAGATTTCCAAGGTCTCCTCATTGAAACCCACATTCCTGGGGTCTGGATAAGTCCCATGCTGGTATCCCAGTTATCAGTCTGGGGACCAAGAGCTCCCCGTTGTTCACGTCAGCTGTTTCTGTGTAACCCAGGTTGTTAATACAAGCTTTTATACTTATCCTACATCTTTATAATTTATCATAAATGTTTTGATAAAGAAGAAACTTCGTTATTTACAAGTCTGTTATCTTTGATCACCTCCAGCAGAAAAATCTTTCATGATATTATTTCTTATTGCAAAATAGTTCTTCATATAATATTGAGAAAATACAAACTACCAAATCAATATTTTTGCTTCCATAATCATCATCTATTATTATATACCATACAAATCACATATATTTTGACCTATCAATTAGTGATCAATGCAGAAATCTTCTGTCTCAATTTCCAATAAAGAATAAATCTCCTCTCTGTGTCAGCATTTGACTTCATTGATTATACAGTACTGTTATAGATAGATTCCCTTTTGACATAAACTAATTTACTTATAATAAGTTTTACTAGATACTTGAATAATAAGACAATTTCTCAAAACTCCTCAGAAGTTGCTGTTCTAGTTCATTCCTTTTGTATATGTAACACAAAAATTCAGGAACCAGTTGTAGAGGCTCATGACTATATCCCAGCACTCGGAGGCTAAGGCAAAATGTTCATTTTGTTGTTAAGGGCAGTCTGGACTAGACAGTGAGCTCCTGGCAATCTTTGGTTATATATTAAGACCCATCTCAAAAAATACTACATAAGTGGGATGGGATAAATGACTGAGAATGACTGATGATGTACTGGTGGACTTCCCTTTGAGGTTTGTCCAAACACTATTATACTTTTCTTGTCTTCCATCCATGAATTTTCAAGATTATATGTAATAGCCTGGGTTTCATTCTTTTTAGAATAAAATGAATTTGACTAAAATTATATATGCAGTTAGTTAAGGCCCTAGACTCTTACATCTTTCTTTATAAGTCTGGAATATATACAAGATATAAAGAAATGGAACAGGAACTCAGTTCTGTCTCTTTGAGCATCAACTTACCAGAAGATGACTGATAATGAGGAAGGCCTAGAGAGGAGTCATCTGTGAGGAAAGGCCAACAGAACACTTCAGGGGGAACTTTCAGTGGAGACAAGGAATCCTTCTTACTAGGGCAAGGTTAGTTCCCATGTATATCTGGGTTTCTGTGGTGCTTCTTACAGAAGAGGACCTTGGCCAGAACTTAAAATACTGTACAGAGACAAAAACAAAAAAGGAAATAATGGTGACTCTGAATAGATGCTTAAATTTTCTGGGTCTTTAGCCCCATAAAAGTGAAGAGAACAAAATTTCTTGTACTTAAAAGATGAGAATAATATAAGAATGAACATCTCACAAACAGGTGAGTATGTTGTGATTTGTTGTATTTTGAGAAGTGGTACTTTTATTGTTATATATATTATTATTTTTAAGACAAAACCCCACTATGCAGTTGCAACTGGCCACAAACTCATGATCCTCCAACCTTACTCCTCCAACTGAAAGAAGTCTAGGTACCAGTTCCATTTTTAAAAGATTTTATTTTATACTCTATAGTCTCTCTTTGTAATTGAAGCAGAAAGGTACATACAAACAGTTTTTTCCCAGCTCAGGACATTTGTGTTGTTAAATTGATTCATTCACCCCCTCAGAGCCCTAAAGACCCAGTCTAACTCACTTTACAGATATAGAAAATCACATAATCCCTATGGGTGAAGTGTCTTTATGATGGGAGAAATACTTCTGTGTATGTTTATAAATAAAGTACTTGCTTGGCCAATGAGACAACAGGTTAGGCTGGACTAGGAGTCAAAGAGGATTCTGGGAAATGTAGTAGAGAAGTGGTGTTCCAGACAGGAAGTGACATAGCAAGGAGACTCATATTTAAGAAGAGGAAAAAGGAAGTGTCACTCTCTTCCCCTTGGCTCCTGCTCCAGCAGCACGATGTGAATCACCAACAAGGAGGGATGTCAATAAGGTGTCCGATAAGATAAGTCCCATAAAATATATAGATGTATGATAATTGAGACTGAGCTAACAAATGAGAATCCTAGTCATTGGCCAAGCAGCTTTGTAACTAATACATGTCTCTCTGTGTATTCATTTGGGCCTAACTAGGGCAGGCGGCAGGCATAAAGCTCGCACATGGCGGTGGGGCTCAGGCGGCTTTTGGCAAAAAGATTTATCGTTAACATCTTTATTCCATGCGCTTACTGAAGCCCTGTCTGTGCATAAATAAAAGGCACTTAATAGACCATTAACATCATCTGACTTTCTCCAGAATCCTCTTTCACACTTCTTAGAAAGAATGTTCAACTTAGCCACTACACATATTAGAGCAGTCACCAGGTCATTCCATCTCTTGTATATGCATTCACATCTTAAAGAGAATACACATATTGTTACAACTTTTCTTTAAAAACTAATCAAATTACTTAGGCTGTTAAGCCAGGTGATATTCTTATAATATTCCTTAGATGATTTTTCTTTTGAGACATTCTACAATAGGCTTTGTCTGTGAATTTTCAGTTTATTCTAAACTGCAGAGTTGTTCAGTGTAAACTCTTGTGATTACACTCTTTGGTTTCAATACAGACTCTTCATGGGAGACTGTAAAATAGCTTTTTCACATGATCATCAATCTTTCTTTCTGCCCCAAGCTCCTTCTTCTGGAATTAAGAAGTCACTGATAATTTTATGTCTTTGTTCTAATCTGCCTGTCTCGTTTTGTTATTCTCTCCTTCCTCTTCCTGTTTCTCCTTCATTTCTTCCATTTTGACCCAGTATTCTAACTTGTACCTTTATGGTAATTCCTTAAAATTCTTTTTCTAGGAGCTGACACAGGCCTTACTATGCAAAGTTGGTGCAAACTATTTTCCTGGGATTTGCTTAGTGTTTTTCAGTCTTTTCTAAAATACAAAGGCCTTTCACTCTTTCTCTACTTTTTGTACCCACACTTTTTTCTTTGTTCCTCTTATCTTCCATCCACTTTGTCAGCTGTAACTGACTCTACAGCCATTGATTTTTTTCCACATTAATCTATAGAGCAGGATAACCCACTCAGGGTTAAAGGTTCTTGGCCATCACCACAAACCAGTGAGGTTGTCCTTATAACATAATTTTAGAGACAATGAAATTAAAGCATGTGGAGGTTGAATAACTGCTAAGCTCATGAAGTTAGAAAATCCTGTCAGAGCCAGGATTCAAAGCCATTAGTCTATATAACACTACGTCTATGATCTTCCATGCAGCTGTGCTAAGTCCTCTGTGTGGAATGGTAATATTATTTATTACTAGTCTCCATGGAAATTCACTTAAGTTGCAAAGTACCTAATTAACACAAACTGAAGAGAACAGCTAAGGAAAACCTTTAAGGGTTGGCAAGCTTCTTTAGTGGATATTATATGCTGGGAAGCACCATTTTTTCTGTGAGTGTAAATAACTTTAATTGTGCATGCCCTTCAAAACCTAACTATATTTACAGAGACACAGAGTAAACCAGCTTTACTAATGGAAGAACATATTAGGGGCTTCTCAAGTAAAAGATACTCAATTCCTAAAACAATTATTTCTCACTATTAAAGAGTACTTGAAGACACCTGTCCAGTAATGTCAAAGGAATGAATAAATCTGAAAAAAGCAACCACTACAACAAAGCCACTGAGTAGGAGGCACAGGGAAAATGAAACAGAAGAATATCCTATGGCTACAGGGGAGACTCAGCTACATAACCCTGTACAGGAAAGGCAATTCACTATGATAGAATAATGAATCTTGTGAAGAAAAGGAAGCATTCTGAAGGAAATACACTGCTAAAAACTTTAAGACACCAGAGAGGAAAAAATTTGAAGACTACACTAAAAAAATTAAAAACCATATCATGAAGCATGAACCACTATGTTATTGAAAGGATTTATAGATTCAACACAATCTCCCTAACAATTTCAATTATGGGATTAGAGAGGTGACACGGTGGTTAACAGTATTTACTGCTGTTGCAGTGGTTCCATGCTCAATTCCCAGAACTTACTTGGCAACTCCCAAGAATCTGTAACTCCAGCTGCAGGGTATCTCATACATATTCTAACCTCTACAGTCTCATGCACACATACAGTGCACATACATACACACACATACATAAAAAATAATTAAATGTTTTTAATTTAGATTTCATTTTTCATAGAACTAGAAATAAGTCTATAAAATACATACTGAAGTACAAATATCCTCAATAGTCAAAACAATTTTTAAAGAGGGGGTAAAATTGCTTTTTTTGCAGATGGTTTTATTTGAATTAAAAACAAGATTTTTTACATGACAATCCCAGTTCCCTCTCCCTCTCCTCCTCCTCCCCTACCACCCTCTCCAACTAAAACCCTACCTATCACATATCCTTTCTGCTCCCCCTGGATGGTGAGGTCTTCCATAGGGGGTCAACAGGAAGAAAACTTATGGGAATACTACAATATCTCATCTTAAGTTATACAACATAACTATAGTAACAAAATACAAAGCATGGTATTTGCAAAACATGACATGTAGAACAATGGAACAGAAGAAAAGACCCTAAAACAAACCCAGTTACATACAGTCACCTAATTTTTGACCAAGATATCAAGCATAATTTAAGAATAGATAGCCTTTTAAGCAAATGATGCTTAAAAACTGTATGTCCATATTAGAAGAATCTGTATGACTTTCTGCACCTTCAAGAATACATAAGTGTACATGCGCACATGCATCAATTCTTAACAGTATGAAAGACATTAATATAATATCTGAAATTTTAAAAGTGCAAGAGGAAAACTTTGGCACAGCACTTTAAGATATAAACATGTATTGGAAACCAACATAAGACAGACATCGCCACTTGGGTGGCAATTAGGAGGCCTGGGTAGTCTATGGTGTCCCTGGTAATAGAACAGCATTTATACCTAGTGTAAAAATGGACATTGGAAGCCCATTCCTCATAGAGGGATACTCTCTCAGCCTAGACACATGGAGGAGGGCCTAGGTCCTGCCCCAAATGATGTGACAGATTTTTACGATCTTCCATAGAATTCTTCACCCTTTCTGTGGAGCAGAAGAGGCATGAGAGGGGTGTTGGTGGGGGGCATGGGAGAATGAGAGGGAGAGGGAACTGGAATTGATATATAAAATAAAATTGTCTATAATTTAAATTTTAAAAGGAGAAAAAGATATAAGCATATATAAGATATAAACACTTTGTGAAAGAGAAAAAAATCTAAGAATTGACAAGTGAGGTAACAGAAAATTAAAACGCTTCTTGAGAACAATAATAATAGTCACCATAGTAAAGATACAATGAATAAAATGGGAAAATACTTGCATGTGACAGAGGACTGATAATATTAATACATAGTAATACATTAAATAAATGTATTACTTGGGGGTCTATAGATGAACAGACTATTAGAATTATTATATATTTTAAAAGTATTGTATCGGCTTACATAGTATCATTACATTTGTCCAATACTGACTGGTTTTATAACAGATAAGCTATAAACCTGGTAGTGACACTCAGTCCGTTAGTCTGGATGCTTCAGAAGCCTCCACTTGATTCTGAAGGTCTAGAGAATTCTTGAAGAGCCAGGAGAAATATCTTCAATTGATTTTAATCTGCATTGAAAAGCTAAGGATGACAGGTTCTAATGTCAGTAGGCGATGATCTCATCAGTGGAAGTAGCAGTGGCAGGGGCTGCAGCAACTACAGCAAAGTTGAATTAACCATCAAGAAATGTGGTCTCCGAGGCATTTGCCTAAACATCCCTATTTGTTTCTAAAATTACCTTCATACTCATTTTCATTGCTGGTCTATTAACAATAGCTAGGAAATTAAATTAACCTAGATAACTGACAACACATTAATGGACAATAAAAATGCATGCATATACACAATAGAATTCTATTCAACACAAAAGAAGAAAATGAAATTATAGAATTTGTCAGAAAACAGAGGAAAACTAAAGCTATTGTACTGAGTGAGGTCCCTAAGGACTAGAAGGACAAACACCATGTTTTCCACATATGCAGATCATAGCTTTGTAAGTTTTAGATTTCTGTGTTAATCTGAAGTGAGTGTTTGTAGAGGAGCTAACCAAGGAGAAATGACACATGGTAGGTGAGATTCTTTGGGTGGAGAACAGCAAGGCACATATGAAAGTAAATGATGTGAATACTGAAGATAGAGAGGTTCAGAACTTGAACAGCATACACTTCGGACACAGGACTTAGAGGAATTAAGCTAGAAATGAGTTGGAAGCCTCCCCTGCTGAGGATTGGTTTTCATGATATCTGAAGATGCACTGAAGACTAAGAAAGGAGAAACACTATAAATGCTGTGAGCATATGAACCACAGCAATAACAGGATAGCAATGATATTACCAATGCAACAATGTTGGCACTTTTTCTTGGAAGTAATAGACTGCTGTCTAAGGAGACTTAAGATCCAATTATAAAAAAAAAACAGATAAAGAGGGTTTATTCTTGGTAATATAAATCTATCCCACTACCCATGCTACTAAGGTCACAGACCCTAGAGGAGAATCTATTACTACCATTTTCCTACACACACACACACACACACACAGCATTGCCCCCCCCCCAGGAAAGCTATGGATGGCCTAATAAAATCCCCATACTAGGAATGAGAAAGCACATTCCAAGCTTTGGTCATGAGAGTCTAAGAAACTCCTTAAATATGTCATTGTTATTGTTTTGGTTGTCTCCCAGGGATTGAAGGTAAATTCCTATTTATGAAGATGCCACGCACTTTTTACACAGGACTCAAAGGGTTCAAGCTGGGTCTGACCTGAGGACAAACTCCCTGAGGACTTGCTTTCATGGTAAGAAAAGGTACCATACCATCCTCCAAGAGAGGGAAGCACCCAATAGTTTAATGCAACTGGGATGCCTATGAACAACCACTATCACTTGCATCGCAATATATATCCCTAAATGTTTCACAGTGGCACTCATATCTTGGCAGTAATAGAGTTCTAATAGAACCTAGAACCCACTGAACAGGAAGTAAATCTTGCCTGGTGTGGGAAATCTAGCCATGTGCTACCCCTGTCTAATGAGGTCATGGATTTTAAAGAAAATGTTCCTGTCAATTTCCAAAATACTTAATCTTATACTCAGAGATAGGTTTAATTCTCACAACTCATTAAAGAAGTTTCTTTTATTAGCAGATGGGGAACCAAAAATTGTAATTGATCATAATACAGAGAACCTGTTAGATTCCAAACTCCAATAGCTATATCTAAAACATACTTCATATTTCTACTCCTAAGGCTCAGGGGATATCATGAAAGATAAGTAGAAATAGTTTAAGGGCAAGAAGGCCAGTCATATCATGTATCCTAGAAATGATAGGGAAGTTACACTTATGATACCTTAAGAGTATGTGTGCCTAAATAGTACTTCAACAATGACAATACCAATTGGTAGTCTACTGTGGAAGGTGAAACTATCATAAGAGTCCTCTCTAGCCAGAGAACTACTTGCAACTAAGAACTATTGAAAGAAACAGAATTAGCCATCACCAGGGATGAGCCCTGTAAATTATAATGCAATTCTAAGTGGTCAAACAGAAAGTCATATGGTTTTATCTCTATATTTGTGAATTTATACATAAAATAGCAATAAAAATTCAAAGAAAAGAGCCATTAATGAGAGGAGATGAAAGGAGGAAAGGAAAGGGCAAAAATACTGTGATTATATATTAATTTAAAAAATAAAACATATATTTAAAAACTCCATAACACATTTGGAAGTGCATACAATATCTAAGCATTTGTTTTTAGATATATCTGGAATAGGAAAATGATTCATTTTAGATATGATTATACTGTTAAATTAATAATTCTACTGGCAAATGCATAAAGATAATTATTAAAATAATCAAAAAAGAGAACAACAATTTGAAAGGTAACTGGGGGATGTGAGGAGGTTCTGGAGTAAGGCCATATGGTAAGGATTGTAGGAAAGAAAGGGAAGGAGGAAGCAATGCAATTATATTTTTTAAATAAATATGTATTTTAAAACATAAGAATTTACTAATGATTAAAATAGTGGAAAAAGGGAAGATTCATAACTAATGAGTAAGCATGGTAAACAACATACATAAGTCAATCAATGTTTATGAAAATTAAAATAATAGTGTGAGTTAAATATGTACAAATAAGCCTATATTTTGATTATAATCTGTGTATAAATATTTGGTATGCTGTTCGTCATGAAAACAACCAGAATACCTGGGAAGAAAGAACTACAGTTGAGGAATTGCCTCCATCAATTTCCCAGACTACCTTCTGGGAAAATCTAAAGGGCATTTTCTTAATTAAAAATTGATGTGAGAGGTTCAGCCCCCTGTAGGCAGTACCATCCCAGAACAAGTGGTCCTGGATTGTACAAGAAAGCAGGCTGAACATGTAAGTGGTTTTCTCCATAGTCCTCTCTGTTCCTCCTTGAATCCCTGCTCTGACTGACTTGTGTCAGTGATTGATTGTATTCTGAACATTTAAATCACATATACCCTTTCCTCTACAATTGATTTTTGTCATGATATTTGTCAGGGCAATAAACTAGGACACAGACTAATGACAAATTACAGGTTCTGTGCTTATCTTTTACACACGCTAATAAAAAGCAACAGGTTCTATGCTTACTTCACTTTTAGTTTTGTTTTTCATTTTTTTTTGAAGCAGGCCTCTCTGTGTAGCCCAGGTTGTACTAGTACATGCTACATAGACAAAGATAGTCCAAACTCATGGAGATTAACCTATCTCTACTTGAAAACCATCATGCCCAGCTCTGCACTTAAATATTAGACACTTTAACAATTAACATCCATTTCAAGACTTAGTTCTAAACAAAATCCAGTCTTCAGGAGAATGTTTAATTCCAGGTCTGTGCCATCCTGAAGCCATGTTGATGTCCAGGGGCCATGCTGCTTTTGGGGTGGCCAGGGGCATGTTGATGTGTGACCCTTGTTACATTGAAGGCCTTGGCCTGTCCTATCACTCAAAACCATGTTGATGTCTGAAGCCTGTTCTATAGCCAGAAACCATGTGGAAGTCCATGACCCATGCTGCCACTACCATAAGGAGCAATTAAGCTTCTTTTACAATGTGAAATCCCAAATAATCAATAAAAATATTATGTTAAAAAAAAGAAGTCATGAACTGGAAAGAGAACAAGGGGAGTACATTGGGAAAAGTGTGTAGGAAGGAAATAGAAGGGGGAAATAATGCAATTATGTTAATTTCCAAAAAAGAAATGATCACAAAAACATACTTAATTTCTTTTAGGAGAATGTCATTTTAACATTAAATTTATGTAGAGAATTGCACACATCACATGTTGTTGCCAATAGTTTTTCAGAGAGTCTACTTTTATATATCCAGTAGCTGAGTACACTTCTATAAGTATGTTACATGTTTGCAAGAATATTTATTGAAGTCTGTCTTAGAACAGCAATGCATTAGACTTATCATAAAAGCCCATCATGTGAGAATGTAAAATAGTAGTAGCATATTTACATAGTGAAGTAAGTGTGTGTGTGTGTGTGTGTGTGTGTGTGTGTGTGTGTGTGTGTGTGTGTGTGTGTGTGTGTGTTTTCCAGGAAATGGGATAGAAAGACTTAATGGACTAAATGGCAACTGCTGCTTTCATGAAAAAGGAAAGAAATGCCTTTATGAATTTTTCACTTGTCCCACTTATAAATGAGGAGTTAATTTGTCAATATTTCTTGAGTCCATTTTCATGCAAAGCATTATGCTCAAATAATGATCAGATAAAAGTGACTTTAACAGTCTCAAATTCTGGTTCTCCAACATAAAACAATTCAAATGTACTCAATTTCTCTTGAAATTAATATAATAAACATTTTTTTATCTTTTTTATATAATTATATGGCTTATGTGACAAATATCAACCAATGACATAATATGTAAGGTATATGTCCACAACAATGTTTACTGAATTTTATATATTATTACATAATATTAAATAATTCAAAGAAATTGGTGACAATTCAGATTATCAAGTGATCACTCATGTTCACAGAAATAGGAACAAACTCCATTGCTGCCATTAATGATGAATTGCTTGGCATCTCCAACATTTTAGTTTTTAACAATAATCTCCTATATCCCAACCAAGTCCATTAGGCTCTTTCTCCAACTGACACAGGAACCAGGCCACTCTTCTCTTAACAAAGAACTCATTAAGACCCATCATACAACCCTACTTTGTTGAGACTGATGAGACTTTGCTGTCAAATATTTGTGATTAATCTTAACTCTAAGGGCAATTTTGTGAGCCACATTTTCAAATTGCTGACTCCTGAAATATTTTATCCTTTGCCTCCCTCACAGATTGCTCTTGAACATTGAGAGATGAAATTGCAGCATCGGTTTTCTTTGTCACAAGATTGGCAAAGTACATGAAAGACTGAGTAAAAATCAGAAGACTTAGCATTATAGGGTAAACATACAGAGATGGATCTTTAGAAGCATTGGGACAAACAACAAGCAAAGTAACTGCCATTTTAGTAATGCATTGCTCTGAGAATGACAGTGTTTCTTAGATAAGACTTTCAAAGTCTTAGATAAGACTTTCAGTGGTTTTTGATATACACTATGTGTGTAGTAATAAAAACCATCCATCTGCAATTGCTTCTTTTGCAGGAATATTGGAAAATACTAATCAGAAAATTGTCAGATTAATATGGCTACATTAAACCATGTCTTTGATTAAGAATATCACATCATCCCTAAAGTCATCAGTCCAAACAGTGTATTTCAGGTTACTTACTGGAAATGACACTTCCAGAATTTCTACATTACCCTCAGAAAACATGTGCTTGATGGGAATTCAGACTTCATTTCATAATGTTCACATAACCTAAGTGTTTTAGGGTAACAAGTATACAGGAACCACAAGTGAAAACAAATGATGACAAAGTAGGCTGGTGTACCATGTTCAAGAGGACAGGTTTTACTGCCCTAAAGCCAAAAATAAAAAAAATAAAAATAAAACTTAAGTCTAGAAATTTCCCAGAAAGGTGAGAGCAAAACTGATCAATGGGTAGGGACCTTAACACCTGAGTTCTATTTTTGAACTCCATGTAAAAGTAAAAGAGAACATACACCACAAAAGTATCCACTCATCTCCACAGTCACACCAAAGAATGTGTGCCCTCTCCCACAAATAATTCTAATAATAATGGATATTATTAAAAATAAAAATAAGTGCCCCAAGTAGTAAAAATTCACTCTAGTATCAAGAATGTATGGTATTTAGTCCCCTCAGACAGAAAACTCCTCTTTTAGCTGTGGTTTAATTTTTATTGTGCTTCATATGGAGTTTTAGTAACACTGGTCAGTGTGTATACTAAGGTAATATAATGAAAATATAAAAATTTAAAAGACTCACCAGGCATTGGTGGCACATGCCTTTAATCCCAGAACTCTGGAGGCAGAGGCAGGCAGATCTCTGTGAGTTCCAGGCCAGCATGGTCTACAAAGGGAATTCCAGGACAGCCTCCAAAAGCCACAGAGAAACCCTGTCTCGAAAAAAAAAAAAATTAAAGATTCATCATATACTACACAACAAGAAAATTTTCAATGTTTGCCTTCTTATTCACCCAAATAACATAAGAAGATCAAAGGCCTTCTGTGTATCTGGAGAAAGCTGCTTCCTGCACTAGCAGCAATTTCACACCTATAAAGTTGGCACTTGCTTCTTTTTCAGTAGATCCTTAAAAATACAAGGGTAAATATTTAATCATTGGGGTAGCTTTATGTATTAATTTTAATTAATTATTTGAGGTCCTTTTAATGCCTCACTACTAAATATATCTCAATGTTAGTATATGTTGGTTACAGCCATTGACAAAGTTTGGCCATGTCGCAACTCCTGATTTACTCTACTTTTTCTCAGAAAATGTCATGATCTGAGTTATATCCCTAAGGAAACCTGCGGCTTCTTGAAGATTCTAAATGTAGAGTCTGGGGATATATCTCAGTCAGTAAATTGCCTACTTTGTAAGCTTGAGGACCTGAGTCAATCCCAACACCCACAGAAAAGCTGGGGACAATGATGAGCATCTATAACTCCAGCCTTGAAAGGAGAGAAAAAACAGTTGGATTCCTGGAGTTCATTGGCAAAGCACCCTAGTCAACTGGTGGGCAAGTCTAATGAGAGACCTAATCTCAAAAGTAACATGGAAAAGGATGGAAGAATGCATCTGACATTGACCTCTGGCCCCTGTGTACACATATTTACATACATGAATAGTATATGCATCACATACGCATACAGAGAATGAGAAAGAGAGAAGATGCTGGGAATAATAAACAAATTGCATAATTATTCTCTCTTGATATTGTGTCAGTCATCATCAGTGACAGTGAACTTCTAACTCACTCAAATTTCATCTTTCTTCCTTCCTTTAAAGAATGAAAGCATGAAACATCATCAGTACTTTTCTACAAATTTCTTCCTCCTATCAATTATAATTTTTATGATGACTCTGTTAATGAAAATATCTAAAAAGGATGCTGTTAGTAATGAATATTAACTTTTCTGGTCAGATTATTGGGTAGGTTGGGTATCTAGCATTTGTTGAACTTTCATTATTCCTATTAAGAAGCTGATTATTCTGTTACTCTAATTCATTTCCTGGTAAGATCCCAATTTAACACTTCTAGAAACTAGCAGCTCATTGGTCATCTATTTTACTGTAAATATGTAGACCTTATTATTTGTTACATTGTTCATCTGGGTATCTCAGGTAGACTCAGTCGCACCTGATATGTCACTAGAAGCTTTGCTCTCAAATAAACAGATCTGTAGATTATTCCTTTTTCTGTTTATTGGTGGCTTTATATTTAAATTAGAAATAAGCTTCTTTTACATGTCAATCTCAGTTCCTCTCCCTCCCCTCTCCCCTGCCCCCCACCGACTCCTCTATCCCAAACCTTTTCTGCTCCCCAGGAAGGGTGAGGCCTTCCTTGGGGGAACTTCAAAGTCTCTCATATCAATTGCAGCAGAGCCTAGCTTGACCCTTCCCAGTGTGTCTAGGCTTCAAGAGTATCCCTCTATGAGTATAAGGCTCCCAAAGTTCATTTGTGTACTAGTGTTAAATAGTGATCCACTACCAGTGGCCCCATAGATTGTTCATAACTCCAAACTTACTTCCACCTTCAGGGGGTCTGGAAAAGTCCTATGCTGGTTCTATGCTGGTTTCATAGCTATCAGTCTGGGGTCTTTGTTCAGGTCAGCTGTTTCTGTGGGTTTCACCAGCTTCATCTTAACCCCTTTGCTCATCATCCCTTCCTCTCTGAAACTGATACCAGAGTTCAGCTCAGTGTTTATCTGTGAGTGTCTGGGTCTGCTTCCATCAGCTACTGAACGAAGGAACTAGGATGGCATATAAAGTATTTATCAATCTTATTATCAGAGAACAGCTCTTAAGGTAGCCTCTTGAATATTGCTTACATTGTTAGTTGGGTTCGACCTTGTAGATCTCCTGACATTTCCCTAGTGCAAGAATTCCCTTTAAAACTATAATGGCTCCCTCTATGATAGTATCCCCTAACTTGCTCTCCTCCATCCCTCCCCTGCATAGATCTTCCTGCTCCCTCCTGTCTTCCTCTACCCTCCCCTTCTCTGGTTCTCTTTCTTCTAACCCTCTCTCTCCTCCCCCCAAGATGTACATTAGCTTAGGAGATCTTGTCCTTTTCCCCTTCTCCAGGGGATTATGTGTGTCTTTCTTAGGGTCCTCCTTTTTTCCTAGCCTCTCTGGTGGTGTGGATTGTAGCTGCTACTTCTTTGACTAGATCTAAAATCCATATATGAGTGAGTACATATCATGTTTGTCTTTTTGCAACTGGGTTACAGCATTAAGGATTTTTTTTCTAGTTCCATCCATTTTCCTGTGAATTTCAAGATTCCATGTGTTTTTTTTTTCTGCTAAGTAGTAATCCATTGTGTAAATGTACCACATTTTATCCATCGATTCCTCAGTTGAGGGGCATCTAGGTTGCTTCAAATTTCTGGCTATTACAAATAATGTTGCTATGAACACAGTTGAGCAGATGTCCTTGTTTTATGAATGTGTATCTTTTGCTTATATACCTAAGAGTGGAATTGCTGGATCTTGTGGTAGATTGATTCCCATTTACCTGAGGAACCACCATACTGATTTCCAAAGTGGCTGTACCAGTTGGCACTCCATCCAGCAGTGGAGGAGTGTTCCCCTTTCTCTCCATCCTGTCCAGCATAAGATGTAATTGTTTTTTATTTTAGCCATCCTGACAGGTGTAAGATGATATCTTAGAATTGTTTTGATTTGCATTTGTTGAGCACTTTCTTATGTGTTCTTCAGCCATTTTAGGTTCCACTATTGGGAATTCTGTATTTAGTTCTGTACCCCAATTTTTAATTGGATTATTTGGTGTTTTGGAGACTAGTTTCTTGACTTCTGTGTATATTTTGGAAAGCAGCCCTCTATCAAATGTGGGATTGGTGAATATCTTTTCCCAGTCTGTGGGCTGCCTTTTTGTCTTGCTGACTGTGTCCTTTGCCTTACATAAGCTTCTCAGTTTCAGGAGGTCCCATTTCTTAATTGTCAGTCTCGGTGTCTGTGCTACTGGTGTTATATTCAGGAAGCTATTTCCTGTACCAATTTGTTCCGGGGTGCCACCTACATCATTTCTAACAGGTGCGTGTGGCTGGATTTATGTTGAAGTCTTTGATACATTTGGACTTAAGTTTTGTGCATGGTTATAGATACAGATATGGATCTATCTTCAGTCATATACACACTAGCATCCAATTATGCCAGCACAATTTGATGAAGATGCTTTCTTTTCTTCTTTTTTTTTCCTTTTTTTATTAGCAAGAAAATTATTTTACATTTGAATCCCAGGTTACTCTCTCTCCGATCCTCCCCTGCTCCCCCAACTAATGCCCTACCCATCTCATACACTTTCTGCTCCCAAGGAAGGGTGAGGCCTTCCATAAGGGGTCTTTAAAATTTGTCATATTCTTTGGGATAGGGCCTAGGCCAACCCACTTGTGTCTAGGCTCAGGGAATATCCTTCCATGTGGGATGGGCTCAGAAAGTCCATTCCTCTGGTAGCAATAAGTACTGATCCACTACAAGAGGCCCCATAGATTTCCAATGTCTCCTCACTGACACACACATTCAGGGGTCTGGACACCTTTATTCATCAGTCCTTCGGTACATCTGAATTTCCATTCAGTTCAAGGTTTAGCTGTGGGTGTCTGCTTCTACTTCCAACAGCTGCTGGATGAGGGCTATGCGATGGCATATGAATTAGTCATCAATCTCATTATCAGGAGAGGGCATTTAAGGTAGCCCCGCCTCTGTTGCTTACACTGTTAGCGGGTGTCATCTTTGTAGCTCTCCAAACATTTCCCTACTGCCTGATTTCTTTTTGAAGTTATGTCTCACTGTATTATATTATCTCTTATCTTGCTCTCTTCTGTTCTTCCCACAATTCAACCTGCATGTCCCATCTTGTCTTCCTCAAGCCTCCTCTTTTCCCCTTCTCATTCTCCTAGTTCCCTCCCCACTCCCCCCATATTCCCAATTTTCTCAGGAGAACTTGTTCCTTTCCCCTTCTCCAGGGGACCATGTATGTCTCTTATGGTCGTCCTTGTTTACCAGCCTCTCCTGCAGCCTGAGCTGCATGCAGGATGGCAATCGTTTACTCCATGTCTAAAATCCACATGTGAGTG